CAGAATTATTAAGAAGCTTTATCATCGCATTGGAGTGGATAATTAGGCAATTAGGATTACTAAAAGTTGGCAAAGCATGAAGCCCAGAGGTCTTATGCTCCTGATGTCACAGGGATATAGTGAAGGAAGCAGGGAAAAGCCTTTGGTGTGAGATTTGATGGTTCGTTATGGTGAGGCTTAAAGGGGCAGCCTGGCTCTGGCACCCAGCACCCTGCAGCTTCCAGAGCAAAAGGGGGTTCAAGATACCTGACTGATAAAGAAGAGCTTCCTTGAAGGTGGACAGTCATCTGAACAGCAACAAGAAGTGAGAGCACGGGTGAAGGACAGAGATTCAGGGAAGGAGAGCACAAGGAGTTGGACTCTGTAATCCTTATAGGTCACTTCCACCTCAAGATATTCTATATTCTATGACTCTAATAATGTGGACCAGCTTTTTTCCATGGTGGGGATGCACAGTAGCTATGGGAGTTACTGTGTAGTAAATGTTTTGTGTTCTTTTTCCAGACCTTTGTCCTTAGTTAACATCCTGTCTCCTTTCAGGTGAGTTGTTTGTAGCAAGGCTTTGCAGGGCCATGAGCTGAGGGTGGTGTGAGATCCCCCAGCAGAGCACCAAGGGGTCACACTCTTCCTTAGGAGGACAGTGTCAGACTGTGGTTTAGACATGCAGTGAATATGGTCTGTCACACTACCTTGATTTCATTTTCTTTGGTCAGAAGTGACAACTCCTGGATTTTTCCCTGATGTAGATCATGCAAACACTTTGTTGTCAGAGGATCTTTCCAGCTTAGCTTGGAGGCAGCTTCCAAACCTCTTCCTCTTTGTTTCTCCATTGTAATTTATATGTGATCACCCCTCTGGAAAGAGGAGCTCTGCAAAAAACAAGTGAGGAATCCATTCTTGTAGGGGATGCAGAGCTGTGGGACACAGTAGGAAGGAGAGGGATGGGAGCACAAGAGCCATATCCCATGAGGGTTAGTTTGGATTTACAGCACTGTTCAGTGGTGGAGGGAGATGTTGAGCCACCCAGTGACATACACCACACACCCTCAAAATCTTCTATTGCCTCCCTCCTGAACCTTCAGCCTGCATTTGGCAATACCTGAACTTTCAGAAAGGTTTCACTGATGGGGCTTTTTGACTGTCCCTTTGGACCAGGTTTCTCCGAGGAAGGGCCAGGCAGGGACAGCAGGACGGTGCTTGCCTCTGAAAATCAGCCTGACTTCTTTAGTGGCACCTTGGCTTCTTCATAGCTGGCTGCACGTTTTGAAGGTAAAGCTGGGTAAAAATGACTAAAAATAGCTCAGTGCCTCTGCAACTGTCTGAATGCATCCTGGGCTGCTCTGATGCCAGTGCCAGACAACCGTGCTTCTCTTCCGGGCTCCTCCCCTGCTTAATCTTAAGCTATAACTTATTTAAAATTAATTTGCAGAGAAGCAGACGTTGCATTAATCACTGAGGAAATGTCAGATTAGTGATGTAATTTTCAGAAGTGCTCCACACTCATCTAACTTAGCTCCCCGTGGAAGCAAGGGATTAAAGGTAAGCTGAGGCAGAGAGTTTGGGCTGGTCACCATCCTTACCATGGGAGATGAGCCAGCACTGCAGACACTCATTAGGAATTTCACACCCAGAGACTGTTAGCATTTGTTCAGGACGTTCAGTTATCAGGGGAAGGAAAAAATAAGGGGATGATGAAAAATACATGGACTAGAGTATTTGGTACTAATTAGTCACTTGGCCTCGTTGGCAAGTCACCTGGTGTTCTCACGGAGCATTCCTCTGAGAACATCCACCATGTTCCTCCTCCAAGACCAAATTCAGAATATTAATTATGGGTAATGATGTATAATTAGCGTCTGAAGTCCAGAATTAACTGATGGTAGCCATTTAGCATAGATATCAATTATAACTTGAAAAAGTGCTTTATCTCCTACCCACAGCCCAGAGTGTTCCCATATGGGTAAATAATTGGAGCAATAAGTGCTTGATTTTCATGACATGGTGGATTGTTATTTCCTGGAAGGTTTTAAAACAGTTTTGTACATTAATGACATTAAAAGTGTTTGTAATTCATGGTAATGCTTATCAATATCTAAAAGGTGGGGGTCAAGAGGGTAGGACTAGTCACTTTTCAGCAGTGCCCAGCAACAAGGGGCAACAGGCACAAACTGGAACCCAGGAGGTTCCACCTGAACAGGAGGAAAAAATTCTTTCCTATGAGGGTACCATAGTCTTCAAAAGGCTGCTAGAGAGGTTGTGGAGTCTCCTTCTCTCAGGTAGAGATTCAAAACATACCAGGATGGCTTCCTGGGCATCCTGCTCTAAGTGACCCTGCTTTAGCAGCAGGGTTGGATAAGATGATCTCCAGAGGTCTCTTCTAATTCATGCTATGATTCAGTGGTCCAGTGCTCCTTGACTACTTCTGGCTCCATCCTCACTGACTGCAGAGCAGGGGGTCCAGGACCATGCCTGTGGCTGCTCTGCACTCTCTGCTCCTACCCAGGAGAGCTGGGCCCACTGCTGGTGCCCATGGATGCAGTCCTTCCAGAATGTTGAAGGGACAGCCATATTTTTGACCTCCTTCTGCTTTAGCTTCCCAAATTTGGGACCACTGTTTTCCTCTGCACAGGGCAGAAGGTGTCACCCAGCCAGCCAGATTCCAACTGCATTAGAGCATCTCTCAGAGAGGTGCCCAGTCTGGGAGGAGTCACATTGTGTTGCTTTTCCTGTGCCTTGGGTTGATTTACAAAGGCATCTGACCTGTGTCCACATGGCTGAAAACAAGCTTGCTTTTAATAATAAGCAATTGTATGAATGGCAAATAAAGATTTGTGCTATAGAGTCCCTGGGACCCAACAGATGTGCTGCTGTTGTTTTGTGGAGCAGAGGGGAGCAAAGCCAGAACTTGTGTGTGTTGAAAATAGGGAGTAGAATATTAGTAGCTCAGCCCTGGCCTCGTCAGAAATACTCTGGAGTGAGTTGCTGCTTTAGAGGCACTGATGTTCAGCTGCAAGAAAGTGGGTCAACTATGGACAAGATCACCCATCCCGTATAATTATTGTGAAAGTCAGGTAAAAATGGGATTTGAGCTTGAGCTGGGGCCACCTGAGCATGGTGGGCAGCAGCTTGAACCAGCTGTGTGCACACACCTCGTGTAGCTGCTGGATCTGCACGAGGACATCAGTCCAAAGCTGCAGGATGCACTGTGGTTTGGAGGCCATGGCTGCTGCTGTGTGACTGTGAGTCCCTGTCACTGCTCCTCCTGGCAGCCTGGAGTAAAACACGACGGCATCCTTCAATCTGAGTCATGAGAAGGCTCACTGGCAAGGATTTTGGGATGAATTCCTTTGGTTTGCAATATTTGTGTTTTTAAGCAGAATTTTCCTAGTGTTTCCTGTGGTTGTCAGCAGTGTAGGGGCTCTCCTTCAAAGTCTAGGTGACATTTACACCCAGTGTTCTAGTGTTACATCTAGAAATCCAGCTGAGAAACGTAGCTCAGGGAACCGTGTGTCTCCTTCCTCTGGTATTCCACTGGAGTGACATTCAAGGTGTGCAGGCTTGGACTCACAGAGGATGATGGTGATGGCACCTTCATAAATCGAGTTTATTATGGCTTAGACCATGTAGGTCAGGACTAATGGTAGGAAGTGTTGATCAAAGTAGACCTCTTGTCCTTTCCTGGTACTGTAAGTGTCTGTCTCCTGGATAACTCATTTATCTCTTAGCTACCTGCCAGAGATGAGTTTGTGTCTATGCGCCTGTGCCTGCATCACACTTCTTCACTTCTAGGTAATTTGGGATCCTTCCCAGCTGCTGTGCTTCTCTGTAGGGTGTCTGAGATGTAAAATGCCATTTCCTGAGGGCCCTACTGCTGCAGCCTCCTCACTCACAGTGAGGCTCTCAGTGTAGAAGGGTGGTCACCTGAGTGGTGGATGTACATGTGCAAACTCTTAGTACTACTGATGCAGGCTTTGAAGGGAGCCTCTGTAGGAAAGCAGGCTTGGAAATAGGGTCTGACTCCATAAACAGTGTGTTACAATTTGGGGTTTAATGCATCCTGGGCAAGATATCCCTCAGAAGGACATGGGTACATCCAGGAGTCCCTTTGTGCATTGTCATCCTGCAGAAATGGGGATCCTTGATCAGGGCTTAAAACACAGTTGCCAAACTCTGAAAAAATCCAACATTTACGTGTTTATGTGCCTCTTACCTATGAGCAGGAATTCATTAAAATATTAGCAGATCCCTCAAAGGCTGAGGATTTTGTCTCCAGTGCAGAGCAGGCAAATCCAATTGCCTGTGGAGTTAATGAGTTGGGCACCTGCTGCTAAACTCTTGCAGTTCTGTGAGATTAGCTGAGTATTTCAGTCCAAAGTACATGCCATTAAAGAATTTTAATTCTTGGGCATCGTATTTAATGAGATTTATATTAACTGGTAGGAAGTGGAAGTCTCTGTGGCAGCAGTATAAATTTATGTGGTAACAGCTCCAGTCCTATCCCGCTCCTCTGGTGACTCCCCAGAGCAGGCAGTGGCTGCTTCCAGAAAGCAAGGGAATAAAAGACAGGGAATAACACTTTTTTTAGGCACTGTTGGAGGCAATGCCAAATAAAGGGAAGAACATCTCTGTGAAGGAGGCCAGCAGAAGGGGGCAGCCACACCATAAGGTTTTCTCCATTCAGACATCCCCATGTGTGCATGAGAAGTGCTGCTCAAAACCCCACAACCTGAAATACTCTTCTTCATCTTCCTTTTTTAATCACTCCAAAGATGTGAATTGCACAGGCAAAAACGAGCCTCTTGCCTGCCAACTCACTTGAAGAGTTTCCTGTGCTGATCTGCTGCATTTGCTTTTTTTCATGAATAAGAGAGGAAATCTAATGGAAAGTGTTATCAGCTTGTCAAGTTAATCAGTGTCTATTTTAATACTGTCATTATCATTTGTCACTAATTAATATAACATAAGTAACATGATTAAAGCTTTTTTGTCTTGTTTTTCAGTGAGAAGCTGGATGGAGAAGCTGAAAGATAAGGTAGGAGCCTCAGTGTTTCAATTACTTCAAAAGCAAAAACAGTTTTACTTGCAGGAATAAATAAACTCTTGTCAGTGCAGTTCGTTATCTCTACAAAGATAATTGAGAAAGGGCTTAAAATTTTCTCTGGGAGGCAAATGAACCAGATGCTGCTGCTCTGTGTAGTGGTGTAAATCCACAGTACATCCCTGATGAGTAGTAACTAAGCAGAAGGAGGGAAAGGGGTATTTGATAGACTTCTCTGCACTAGAAAATGTTCTTCTCTTCAGACTACCTGAATTACTTTTTCACTGCCCTCTAACTTACCTCCACCCCTTTTCTCTAAGTCCTAAGCTTGATTCTTGATCCAAACCTGGTGATCTTCTCTGGTGAGAAGCTGTGTGCCACACCACCACCTCTGGATGAGACTTTTCTTGCCTCCACGTGCAAGAAGAGTTGCAAATTCCTGGAAGGAAAAAGAGCAAACACAGGACTGAAGAGATAACAGACTCTGATCTTTTGTCCCTGGTGTTACATGGTGGTGGTACATAGAATTAAGAGCTGTACCAGCCAGAGCCAGTGGTGGCTTTTTAGGCTCTGCTGCTCTAGAGCAAATATTAACATTTTGAAATGGTTGTGAAACCTTCCAAATGTTGTGTGTTGATGACAGGAAAGCCATGAAGCCAGAAATGAGGTGACAGCAGTGTTTTAAGACAAGGATATTTTGTGACTCAACAGGGCTTGGAAATTGTTGAACAGGTTCAGAGTCAATAGCCAAAAAATCTACCACAAGGAATAATAACTCAATAGGAGAGTCCAGCCCCTGAAAATATATCTCTAACGTTGAGCAGATTGTCACCCAATGACCCCAGACTTCCCACTTGATAGCCACCAAATTTCAGCAGTACCTTACCATCAAGTCTGAACAGAAAGCTGGAGTCTGGATGTCTGTTTTCCAGAACTGGGGACTGGAAGAGCTCAAGGTGGGTCCCTGCCTAGCCCTTGCTGAGTTTCTTTTCTGCCTACAATAGGAAGGAGGCTTGTCTAGTATGAGCTATGCTCATAGCAGAGCACCTTGGCCGGGGATCCAGCCAGAGGGAATGCTGGAAGGGCAGAGAATGGTTTTCCCAACAAAGGTAAAAAGCAGACCCTGAGACTGATTGAGTGCCTGGAGTGAATGTGGCATGCACAGGTCACTGCTCGTGCCAGATCTTCCCAGCCAGCACAGCACAAGCTCAGGGGCAGCAGGTGTCTGTTCAGCAAAGCCGTAGCTTTCACTTCTTTCCTGTTGGCACCTTGTTGGCCACCTCTGTCCTTCCCTATTGCTGAGAGAGGGGTGCATGTTCCAGGCTCCAGCAGCTGCTCTGTAGAGTCTGTACCTCTTGCAGGTAGATGTTGGACTGCGTGGCAGTCCTCAGCACAAGCACTGGTGGAACTGGAATAACTCTCACTAAAAAGAGAGACTCAGTCCTAAGCCCTCTCCCTCCTTTGGGGAAGGGCAGATTGTGAAGGCAGATCTTTCACCTCACGTTTTCCCTTCAAAAAGCTCCCAAACCCACTCCCCCATCCCCAACCAAATCCTGGTGTGGCAAATCACTTGCAAATAAACCTGCTCACCCTGTTTCCTCCTCTTCCTTGTTGTGTTTCTCATCACCAGTTACATGTGCCCCTGTCATTTGCTGTTGGCAGAGCCCTGTCCTCTCTACTTGACAATCCCTCCATCCAGAAGAGGATCCCAGCACATGGTGGCCCCATCCCTGAGAGTTGTGTCCTCCTGTGTCTGTCAGGGCTGCCCTGCTGGAAGAGGGCAGGTTTGGGGAGTGTGGGACCAGGAGTACAGCTCGGTGACAGATTTATGTCCAGTCTCCTGCAAGCACTGGACAGATGTTGCATTTGGTGTGCTGAATTTGGGCACATTAAAAAGAGCGTGGCCAGCAGGTTGAGGGAGGTTCTGCTCTCCCTCTACTCTGCCCTAGTGAGGCCACAGCTGGAGTACTGTGTCCGGTACAGGCTGCCCAGGTTGGGAAAGATAAGGAACTACAGGAGAGAGGCCAGTGGAGGCTCTGAAGATGCTGAGGAGGCTGGAGCATCTCTGCCAGGGAAAGGCTGAGAGCCCTGGGGCTGTTCAGCCTGGGGAAGAGAAGATTCAGAGGGGATCTGATCAATGCTGAACAATAGCTAAAGGGCAGGGGTCAAGAGGATGGGGCCAGACTCTTTTCAGTGGTGCCCAGTGACAGGACAAATAGTAAAGGGCACAAACTGGAACCCAGGAGGTTTTATCTCAACAGGAGGAGAAGCTTCTTTCCTGCGAGGGTGCCAGAGCCCTGGCACAGGCTGCCCAGAGAGGTTGTGGAGTCTGATTCTCTGGAGGGATTCCAAACCTGCCTGGATGTGATCCTGGGCACCCTGCTCTAGGTGACCCTGCTGTACAGTTGATGATCTCCAGAGGTCCCTTCCAGCCTCCACCATTCAATGATTGTGTGTGAATAATGGACATGAGGATCCTCTGAAGCCCTCAGTTCTGTTATCTCAAAGTGCAGTGGAGCTGAGGTGATGCCCATGGGTTGGGTGTATTAAAAGCAACCCTAGGATCTATAAAGAAGCTGCATCTTCCTCATGGGCCAGGGGTAAAAACATGGCTTTGGATCTGCCTGTGAGGCGGGGTTTTGTATCAGCTAGGTGCAGATGCATCCCAAGCTGGGCTGTGTGACTCAGAAGGGCTGGGAGAACAGGTCCTGGGTCTGTTTACAGCCTTTTGAGGTGCAGATCATTGGTCCAGCCCTTGGAGGAGGCCTGTAAAAGGGCACAGGCTGGCCAGGTGTGGCAAAGACTCACAGGCAGGCTGGGGAGTTCTTCCTAGTAGAGTTAGTGATTTCTGGGAGGGAAACTCAACTGGGCAGCAGCTACAAAGTGATCTCCAGTCCTGCCTCACCACCCACACCAGCAGCAAAGTTCTTGAAATAGAAAATCCCATGCTGCACTAATTAGGTCACCCAATTAAGGCACTTAATTGCCTCACAGAGATACAGCCTTTTAGCTGTGTTCTCACTAACCTCCTTTTTGGGGAACTGGGGAGCACATGTGCTGAGCAGGGCTGGGCTTTCTGGGAGGGTGTTGAGGGAACCTGCACAATGCAGCTGAAGGTCCCTCAGGCTCTGGGACCCAGGCACGAAGGTGTTACTATTTAGAGCTCTGAGCAAGATCTGGAGGGGTTTGGGAGCAGAAGACAGCCCTTGTTAGCATTGTATCTGCCCTAGATGAAAGGGAGTTATTTTCAGCCTCCAGGTAAGCGTAGGGAGCTAGGGCAGCAGGCACTGAATATCTTCCCCCCTGTCTCCCCCCCTGAAAACTCAGTGGATTATGAAAGAAGAGCAGTTGTGGTGTGAGCGTGTGGTTTGAAGCTGTGCTGCAGTTTGGGAACGCAGATGAAGATGGGTGGTTGTAAGCAATGGACCGAGGCTTGCTGAGAGCTGCCTGATAGTCCTCTGAATCCCGCATGTGTCCCTTGGCAGGTGTAAAATCTATTTTGAGGGGTGTGGGTGGCAAAGGGTAAAGCTGTAGGACCCTGTAGGAAGGGGAAGGCAGAGGGCTTGGTTGCTGCAGTGGGAACAAAGGCAGATCTTAGGAGGGAGGGAGCCAGGCTGCTCCTGCCTCCCTTACTCCATAAAACCCTGGCCTGAAAGAGGTGAGGGTGCTGAAAAGGATGCTGAAGCAATCTGGCACTTTAAGACTTAGGTCAATTTTCATTTAAAGCAGTAAAATAGAAAATAACAAGCACTTGGGAATATTTTCTGAAGGATTTTAAACATTTAAATGGGGAGTTTTAAGTTAGTCATGCTATCTATATATTTTTTAGCGGGCACTGCAGATTTAAGGATCACAGAAATTGAAGTAGAGCTGTTTTACATTTGCTGGGCTTCCCTTAAGGCCAGCTGAAGGTCTGTGTGTCTTCCCTCTATGTCGTAGACCTGCTCACTCGAGTGACCCCATTCTCATGCAGAGCAAAAGGGTCTGGTTCAAAGATTTTGAGTATGAAGCTGAGGAGGCTCAGGCTGGGCTGGGCAGGGAGAGGGCAAGCTGCTTCTTTGTCCTGCAAAAGTGAGCACAGCCTGGCTTTGAGTTTCAGCTCCTCCAGAAATCCAGCTGTGGGTGTTGGGAGCAGCTTCTGCCATCCTGTGCTGAAACAGGACATCAGTGTCCCAGGGCACTTGCCTTGCCCTGCCAGCGTGTCTCTGTTTGGGAAGTGTGGGAGCTGTGCAATATACCTCTTTACTGGAGGTGAATTTACCAGTCTGGCCATGGTAAGACACGCTCCAGTGATCAGAGCTGGCCAGGAGAGTGTTGGTCCTAGTCTGCTGCTGGTCTGGATTCGTGCCCAGAAGCACAAGAGCAGCTCTTGGCTCTCTGGGCTCAGCTCTGCTGAACGTGGCCAGACGTATACCTGTGCCTTGTTTTGTGCTGGTGGTACCTAGGGAGCTCAGAGCAGCACTCAGCCTACTCTGCACAGCATGTGGTGAGGCTCTCTGGGTGGTCATGGGTCTTTGTTGTGACCTTGGTGATCAAGGTTGGTCTCTACACATGCACCTGTAGTAACAGACTCTTCACCCCAGCACCTGAAACTGCACCAAAACTGGTCTCTCCTAACGGTGGGCAAACACTGTAGTGGTTCAGCTGCCACGGGGAGGTCTCTGTGAGGAAGAGCTGATGGTGGGTGAGCTGGGCTGGTTCCCAGCTTGGTCCTGGAGCAGGGCCAGTTTGGGGGGTAATGACCCGGGAAGCAGAGCTCACCCCGTGCAGGCGGGTCAGAGGGCTCCGGCCGCGAGGCGTGTTGGTGGCGGCAGGGTGGGGATGTGTCACAGTCCTGGGCTGGCAAGAGTGACTCGGAGAGGACGGTTGTGTGAGTGCTGCTCTGCTCCTCTCTCACCGTGCAGGCAGGGTACATGTCAGGGATGCTGGTTCCTGTGGGGGTCGGGATAGCTGGAGCCCTCTTCATCCTGGGAGCACTCTACAGCATTAAGATCATGAATCGCCGGAGGAGAAACGGCTCAAAGAGACATAAAAGAAAGGTATGACAACTGCAAAGCAGTCCCCAGTCCCAAGGAAAACCCCAGTGCCCCCCTGTTGCCCAGTGTGGCTGTGGGGTGCAGCCAGGGTACGGTTTGTCTGGGTTGAAGTGCCCAAGGACATCTCAGTTTGTGGGGGGTATCTAAATGCTCGTTGTTTCCTTTTTGCATGTGAAGCTTTTTCACGTTTCTTTTCTTCCCCTAGCAGAGGGAGTTTAACAGCATGCAGGACCGAGTCATGCTCCTCGCTGACAGCTCTGAAGACGAATTCTGAATGGAACTGCAGTGCCCTTGTGCCAGCCCGTGACTTTTGGGAGGAGGGAGGGGGAGAAGAAGAAGAAATGACTCTCTGCCGCCTCGTTGCTCCCGCGCTGCCGAGCGGCGCTGGCAGGGTGGTGGCACAGCACCCTGTGCCCCGGGTGTCCCACGCTGTGCCCCAGGTGTCCCACGCTGTGCCCCACGTGGCGATGCAGTCGGGAGGGTTCCCGTTCTCCCCGGCGCCTCCTGTTGCAGCTGGAGCTGACCCCCACGGCCGAGTCTTCTCCCGTGCCCCCGGTGTGCTCTGCTGGGCCTGGCTGGCAGCCATCCAACCCTAAGGGTAGCTCTCACCCCACCCGGGAATGGAAATCCTTACTGTGAATGACTTCTGTCCAATTTTAAGTGTTACATTACCCGAGCTAGAGTTCATTAGTGCTAAGATTAGCTGCTCTGCTTAATTAACGAGTTAGACACTTGAACTGTATCCCTGGCCACCTGAGAAGTGCCCGTGCACGGTGTTGTTGATAGAATTTGAAGCACATTTCTGTACTCGGTTCCCCGACTCTCACCTCTTCTGCCTTCCTTCAGCTCTGCTCCATGCTTCTCGGAGACACGCAGGGACTGCCTCCACACCTGATTCACACAGAAATCCCAACCCATGTCCAACCAGCACTGTCTGTTACAGCACAATAAGCCCCAGCGCTCACCTGCTGACGGAGAGCCCTGCATGGACCTCTCAGCTTTCCTTCAGTGTGCACATAGGTAAGAGAAGGGGCAGGTCGGTACTTCTTCTGCCTCCCCTTTGAAGGATGCTAGTTGTTGGTTCATCTCATTCACAAGGCTGCATTCAGTTTTGGGCCCCTCACTACAAGAAAGACACTGAGGTTCTGGAGAGTGTCCAAAGAAGGGCAGGGAAGCTGGTGAAGGTTCTAGAGAGCAAGTCTTACAAGGAGTGGCTGAGGGACCTGGGTTTCTTTAGCCTGAAGAAAAAGATGCTCAGGGGAGACCTTCTCACTCTCTACAGCTCACTTAAAGGAGGTTGTAGTGAGGTGAGGCTTGGTTTCTTCTCCCAAGTAACAAGTGACAGGACAAAAAGAAATGGCCTCAAGTTGTGCCACGGGAGCTTTAGGTTGGGCATGAGGAAAAAGTTCTTTGCCAAAAGGGTTGTCAAGCCCTGGACCAGGCTGCCCAAGGAAGTGGTGGAGTCCCCATCCCTGGAGGGATTTAAAAGCTGCATAGATGTGGTGCTGAGGGAACTGATTTAGTGATGACCTGGCTGTGCTGGGTTAATGGTTGAACTTGATGATCTTAAAGGCCATTTCCAACCTAAACAATTCTATGATTCACACGGAGATGAAAGTGGAGCATCTATCTCCTTTACCCACTGGAAATTGCATTTTCAGCCCCTGAAGGCTCTGTGAACTGTGGCACCTTTGGGGGATCTGGATGGGTCTTGTCTTCTAGTCCACCAAATGCAGAAAGGCATCAAAGGCTGCAGAGCAGGTGGCTGTGGTTGAGGGATTTGTGGCAAATAGTTATAAAGCAGAGGCCACCACAGCTGGAGCCATGTCTGCTATGGGCAGGTGAAAAGTCACGCTGGTGACCCTTGGCCAAGGGGGAGGAGGTGAAGCTGTAGAACAGATAGCTGCAGAGGCTTGTGGGGGTGAAGCCCAAGGGTGGCATGAGGTGGGGGTAAATCATCCCCACCGTTTCTGCAAATCATCCATGTTTCTGAGGTGGGGATCACTGTTCTGTGGGGAATCATCTTTCATACAAGGAACAACGATTGTTGCTGGAGGAGACCTGGTTAAACAATAAGGCCAGACCACCTATCTACTGAGATTAAATCCCACTGACCCCTCGAAGAAGTGGGAGGAGAGCTGGAGGAGGGGTGGGTGCAGGGTTTCATTCCTCATAAAGGTAAAAAGGCCCTTCAGATTGTGAAGGGGAGGTGTCACTGGTGGAAGCAAGTGTCTCATGGGCACGTGAGTGGACTTGCGAGGAAGAGAGGATGTTTGGAAGACCCTCCTGAAGCTGAGCTCTCTCTTGAGTGGGTCCAGGCCTCCTGTGGACATTAAGTCACTAGGCATGATGTCTGGCTTTGAAAAAGCAGTGCTCCTCAGAGCCCAGGTGCTTTCCTGCAGCCCTTCCCCACACCTGGAGTCACCTGGAGAAGGACAGGTGGGGCAGCACAGTTTCAGAACGCTGCTCCTAATGCTGCTCTTCCAGTCCCAGAGCTGTGCAGGGGCCCTCTCACGTCTGTCCCATAGAATGCTTGGGGCACAGGTTGGGGGAGACACAGTAAAACCCAGTCCATCTGCATTTTGGGGAGTCTTCATACCCTGATCACTCTCGGACAGGCTTTCCCAGCCAGGGCTCCAGAGTGCTTGCATCTCTCCTCTTTCATTCCTGAAACTTTGACTAGGAGAATTTTGCCTTCCTAAAAGAAGCCCCACGTCTTTAACTGGCAGTGACTGGCAGCCCACTGTCAAGTCCAGCTGCCCCTACCCAAAAGCAAAGCCTCTTTCTTCAATAATAAGTGATCAGTCCAAGCTGAGGAGAAATTTTCCTTCTAGACTGGTCTCTGCCTATTTCCTTCTCATTCCCAAGTCTCTTGGAGCTTGGAGGTAGCTGGGAGGTGCTAGCAGTGCAGCTGAGTGTTGCTGGCTCTCTTGCAGTTTTGGGAATCAGGAAATATTGCCCTTTGGGTTCCTTGGTGGTTTGTTCCTGGTAAGGCACGATGGGGGCTGCAGGTGGAATGACCTCTCCTCTATTCCAGTTTGATGGAGATCATCTCCAGCAAAACTTGTCTTTAAGGTACAGCACCAGCAGGCTGGAAACAAGACTACCTGGGCAGCTGCAGGATGGTCTTGAAATGCTCTGCCCTGGTCCAGCCAGGGACACGTGGAGAATAAGCAGTGACAAAGGGCATTGATGAGTCTGCCTGGGGGCAGAAGGGATGGTGGCTGGGCTGGCCGAGGCCTTTGCACACAACAGCAGCATGAAGGAGAGACCTGAATTAACACCGGGGAGAGGAGCAGCCAGTGGTACTGCAGAACAGGGCAGAGGTGCCAGGAAGAGCCAGGCAGCTGGAGAGCAGCAGGGCTGTGCAGTGACAGCCTCTGGAGGGCAGTCTCCTGGTGCTGTGCCTGCACCGCGTGTGCCGGCGCGAGTCCTGGGCAGTGCCCGATGGCCCTGAGCTCCTGGGCCAGCCCAGAGGGGCAGGAGGGGCTCTGAGTGCAAGTTGCCCGGCTCAGCCAGCGCAGGAGGATGGATGTGTTGGATGTGTTGCTGGTTTGATGGATTGAGATAACTGGTGGGAACGTTCCATGGCCTCTCATTGTGCTAATAAATCCAGTTTGGGAAACACTGAGCTTCTACCGTGGCAATCCCTCCCACTGTCTTCTTCTGCCTCCCCAACATAATGAGCTTAGGAAATCAGAGGCAGTGCTGCCAGTCAGAATGATGGAGGTGGTGTCTCAGTGCCTCGGCTGGGTGCCCTGATGTCCTCAAGAACCAGGCTTCACTCTGTGAGGACATGGCATCGGTGGCTGGAAATCAGCAGTGCCACCAGTGGGGCTTACAAATGGCTGCAAATGTTGGAGCAGTTATGTGGCAAGTGTGGTGGGGCAAACTGGGCAAGCAGGGGAATTGTAGCCCAAAAGGAGGTCTGGCTGCAGGCACAATTCAGTGTTGGTTCTCTGGTCTGTGCTGGAGCCAGGCTTACGGGCTAGAAGGGCTGCCCGAAAATTTTGCTTGTGGACTGTGTTCACTTCCAAGCCTGTCTCTGGCTCTGAACACCGTTAACCAGGGAGCCTTGTTTGGGAGCTGCTCGTTGGCAGATGACTACTCCTGGCCAACTTTGAGCCACTCAGCAGTGCAGAGACACCCCAACCAATGTGTATTTGAAGTGGAGCTGCTGGTTGAATAGTCAGTTTTGGTCAGGCACCTGTCCCAGAGCCTGGAGGCTCCCCATGTCTTCAGGTTAGCTATGGAGGTAGGATGGACAGTCAAAACCAGCCTTGGGTCCCAGTGAAGCTTGTAGGAGCCTGAGGAGCACAGGGAGAGTTTTTCTGCAGTGCCCTTGGCATCCGTGTCATTTTTGGAGGTCCTTAAAGCACAAGCATCATTCAGCTCCTTCCTTTCTCGTCTAAGGCCAGTAGACTTTGGATTGGACTCTTAAAACTATTCTTCATACAGCTCCTGGAGTCTGATCCATTTGCTTGAAGTGATCAGGCTGCAGGCAAGGGGTGGAGGAGGGTTCCAGGCAGGAGCCAAACCTCCAGTCTCCTAACGCTTTGCTGAGTCAATCTCTGCACTGTCAGACAAGCAGATTCTTTTGAAAGAGACAGGACAAGAAAAGCAGCTGAGAAGTGCCCTCCTTGTGCCCTGTGGTCAGTGAAGGGAGAGGTCCTGAACGTGCAGGTGGCTTGTGACACTGCTCATGCAGCTGTGGCCCCACGTTGAAGGCCCGGCTGCGACGGCGACTGCTGCAGCAATAATAACCCCCTGGCTTGGTGTAAGACATGTTGCTCTCCTCTGTTGTGGGTTCTTCTGATAGCACAAGCCAGAGTTTATTGTAGGCATCACCCAACAGCTTTGGCATCTCCAGCCTCATCTCCAGCAGGAGGAACCAGCCTGCCCCACGTGCAGCTCTTGCCCTGGTGAAATGCATTTGCACTCAACAGCTGCTGATTTTTTAAGGTGTCTCCTCCGCCAGATGTTCACCCTAGGTGAAGTCTCTCTGGACTGCACTGCTTCCATAGAGTGATGTTAGCAGTCCTCGTGCTTTCTGTGGTTTTCTATTTTGGACGAGAACAACTCCTCATACTGTAACTATGGAATGTAGCACTTTGTTAAATTAAAACATTGGGAAATAAAAAGCTCTCCATCATATCTGACGTTCAGTGCCTCGTCTCCCTGCTCTGTGGTTCATGGCCTTCACTGCCTCTCGGGTAGAGCTGTGTACTCATCCTTCCCAACCCCAGTGATCCAGCACTGGTGAGCCTTGAGATG